AGCCAGTCGAGTCCGACTCTAGGATTGCGGTGCTCATCTCCATTTCAAAGCCGAAGAGCCAGCGCTGTCCGAAGACGTTTCCGTGGTCATGTGGCCGGCAATGACTAAACACCAAGGCGCACGGAACGCTGTTACCTTCCCACCAAAGCGGTACCTATTTATCTACTTGCAATTTCTTGCTTTCGAACTGCTAGGTTGGCAGGAGCTGGAACTAGAAACGGGAGCTCACTCCGTCATGCGGCACACTCGGGTCTCGAACTGCTGAAGTACTGACCTTCCAGCCCGCAGTTCAGCGTCTTAACCACTTGAGCCACCGCAGCTCCTATCTATACCTTGTACCTAATAGCCACTGATGGACCTCTGCTCCAGATGTTTATCTAATTGTCAGGAGGAGAGGAGAACCATGTAAACCATTTTTGGTCTCCATTGGGGAGAAACGTACGATATAAACTTACTAAATAAATAATATGTCTGACACCTCAGAGCATAGTAAAAAAAAATCCACAATTTTAGGGAGTTTTTGACCTCCAAGCCTTAACCAGATTTATGGAGGATATTTTAATTTTTTTAATCAGATTTTTTAAAAAAAACATTATTTTTTCTCCCAACTGTTGGAATAGTTCGTCAGGGCAAAATGTCTGTCTAAGCAGTCTCCCTTTTAATTCTAGCTGTCTGAGGGAACACTTACGCAGCATTCCCTGCAGGTCTCTGTTAGTAGTCGCAGGGGGTCGTGTAGTAGTCGCAGGGGGCTGCGGGCCGACTTTTTTAAAATTTGTAGTACAGATTTTTTAAATGTAATATGCGTTCACAAACTGTATTTGCTGTACAGGCTGGGTACAGGCTGTACAGGCTGGATTATTTTTTGTGTGCTACGTTGTTTATTAATTAAAATTTTTATATCCCTCCTTTCCTCGTGGCCGAGGGCCACTTACAAATCATAAACAATACGTCACAGTTTGAAACCAACCCCCCCCCAACCCCATGTGATTTCCCCTCCCAAATGCCATCTTTTATGAGCGGCTATGACTTCTGCTGAATTTGGTCAGGAGGATGCAGATTTAATAAATAATATGAACTTGGGATAAAGACAGCTTTCCACGGCTTTTTCTTACTCGCTGCGCAGTACAGAGTAAATTCTTTACACTTTTCTTTTGCAAATTCCTCAGCAAAGTTTATATGTGTTAAACGTTTATATACAGTACGAACCAAGGAATAGGAGTGATCTGAAATTAATTGGCCAGGAGCCACCCCACCCCCACCTCCTTTGGAAGATCAAAGTCCTTAATGTCAGGCTTCGTGAAGCATAGGCTTCTTTCATATGTTTCTGCCTTTTCGTTTAGATATTTAGCTGAAGTTGCACTGTAGCTGCCTATACTCTGAGAGGTGACACTTACTGGTATGTCAATCAAAAGCAGGACCTCTTTAGTTGTGGCACTCCCAGCTTGGAAATGCCTCCAGTCTGGGTGTCTTACTTGAAGCTGGAGTTTTTTGGCTGTCTGGACAGGCCAAAATAGGATACTTTCAATGGGAAATATTTCAACTTTATGGTTAAGTTTCCTGATTGAACTTACTAGGTTTTAATTCTGACCAAGATCCAAAGATCCACCCAGCAGCCACGGTGACAATGGAGGAAGGAGTTCGGGCTTAGTGGTTTTCAGACAGTGTTTTCGTTCTATAACCCATTGCAAATCTTTTCGAGGAACTAAGGTCTGGTCGTGTTTTTTTGTCCTTAAGAGCAGTTTTTCATTTGGTGATATTGTTTCTATTTGGAAATAACTCTGAACTATTTATTATACCTGACAGTTCATCTCAGATATCGGTCAGTACGATGTTTTCCCATTCTGCTTTTGACCTATAGTCTGTTGCTGAACATTACAATTTTCCTTTCTTATTCTCAACTCAGTTTTGCTCTACACTGTTAAACCTGTGTGCATAACAGAAAAGGGTATTTGGAAAATTCTGCATTAAAACAACAAGAACATAGGTATAGATAAACCAATAGAATATAGGTACAGATCAGAGGTGTCCAAACTTGTTTAACATAAGAGCCACATAGAATAAATATCAGATGTTTGAGAGCCGCAAGACATGAGCAAATATTACACATTTTTACTGGGAAATATGCAGGTTTGCTTTTTATTAAAATTAAATGAGGCCGCCAAAAATAACGACAAAAGCGGTAAAAGCAGATATTGATGATGATATTTATCTGTCGAATGATACTTGAAGAAGAAGAGAAGAGATTGGATTTATACCCCGCCTTTCACTACCCAAAGGTGTTTCAGAGCAGTTTACCAACTCCTTTTCCCTTCCCATCCCCACAACAGAGGTGGGGTTGAGAGAGCTCTGACAGAAGCTGCTCTTTTTCAAGAACAGCTCTGACAGAACTATGGCTTGCCCAAGGTCATCCAGCAGCTGCTGCAAGTGGAGGAGTGAGGAATCAAACCCAGTTCTCCCAGATTAGAGTCCACGCACTTAACCACTACACCAAACTGACTCTCTTAGTTGGCCTTGTGATCCCAGTATGTATTTAAAATGGTCATAAGTAACAGCTGCTAAGCAAACAAACTTAATCCAGACAAAATGGAGGTCCTGTTGGTTTAGGGGGCTATGAAACCTTGGAAGTGGTATTCAGCTTGTGCTGGGTAGAACAGCACCCTCCCTGAAAAAAGATGTTTGTGGCGAGGGGAGTTGTGGCCTTTGGTTCGTACGCCAGCCGTGCCTCTACTTGGAAAGAAATGACTTGGCCCCCGTTGCTCATGCTTTTGTCCTATCCAGGCAAGATTACTCTAGCCGGGGGTGCTGACTTTGAAAAAGGTTTGGATACTCCATATGGCGCAAAATGCTGCAGCCAGAGTGTTAACTGATATTGACGTTGAGGACATATTATCAGTGTTAAAATATTTCGGGGGGGAGGGTAGGTTTGCCAGCTCTGGGTTGGGAAATACCTGGAGATTTGGGGAATGGAGCCCGGGGAGGGTGGTGTTTTGGAAGGGACAGACCTCAGCAGCAGTCTTCTCCAAGGGAACACTATCATCTGGAGATCAGTTGCAATAGCAGGGTATCTCCAGGCCTCACCTGGTGGCTGGCAACCCTAGTTGATTTCCAGTTGATTTCCATTCTGTGTTGAAACTGCTAGTGCTCCATGCTCACTCTTCCCTTTGCCCCGATCATACGTGTCAGTTTCACACTATGTGCCGTGTGGCCGCATTTTGCCCCACAGCTTCGCCCAATTTCCCTCGCGTCTACTCAACCCTAAAAAAAACACAAAAAACAACAGGATTGAGTAGATGCGGGGGAAATCGGGCGAAGCTGCAGGGCAAAATGTGGCCGCACAGCAAGTAGTGGGAAATAGACTAATGTGATCGGGGGCAAAGGGAAGCGCAAAGTCAGAGCAAAGGGCTTGTGGGAAATCGGTCCTAGTGTCACCGTTGAAGTCCTTAAATAGTCTGGGCTTCTGAAGTCTGTCTTCTCCTGCATGAACGTACTCATCAGTTAAGATATATGGCTCTTCTCCATGGACTCCACCTTTTGAGGTGAGGCTGATGGCTATCAAAGAAGGGACCTTAAATTGTGGGATTGGCTTTCTAGGCTAGAATTGGTGGTAGCTGGAGATTTCCTGGGATTACAACTGGTCTCCAAGCAACAGAGATCAGTTCACCTGGAGAAAAGGGCCGCTTTGGGAGGTCGGGTCTGTAGCATTGAAGTACCTCCCCATCCCAAACCCCGCCCTCCTCAGGTTCCACCCACCCACCCCAAATCTTCAGGTATTTCCTAACCCAGAGCTGGCAACCCTGTTCTAGGGCACATGTACTTATGTGCTATATCTGTTAATGTTTAGGCACTGGGCAAAGTCTGTCCTGTAATCTCGTGCTTTTAATGGCGTTTGACATCCTTTTATTCCGCTTTCCTGTTACTTTTAGTTCTTATTTTAATTGCTGCTACTAGCCATACTTTTCGAGACCCGAGTGTGCCGCATGATGGAGTGAGCTCCCGTCTCTAGTTCCAGCTCCTGCCAACCTAGCAGTTCGAAAGCAAGAAATTGCAAGTAGATAAATAGGTACCACTACAGTGGGAAGGTAACAGCGTTCCGTGCGCCTCGGTGTTTAGTCATGCCGGCCACATGACCACGGAAACGTCTTTGGACAGCGCTGGCTCTTCAGCTTTGAAACGGAGATGAGCACCGCAACCCTAGAGTCGGACTCGACTGGCTTTCGAGCAAGGGAACCTTTACCTTTACCTTTACTAGCCATACTTGCATGTATGAATTTTTATTTTCATTCTCTGTTTATATTTGTAAGCAAGCTTGACATCCTTTTATTCCGCTTTCCTGTTATTTTTAGTTCTTATTTTAATTGCTGCTACTAGTCATACTTGCATGTATGAATTTTTATTTTCATTCTCTGTATATATTTGTAAGCAAGCTTTGGGTTTTTATGCCAAAAGATGTAGGGGGGGGGTTCCCCTAAATAATTAGTCCTGCCACAGAAACAAGAACTCTTGTTATTGGCAATAATGATATCATTACACAAAGAAAAGTTCACAGCAGAAAACTTCCACTTACAACCCTGCTTCTGAGACTCCTGCTTTAAAAATCTTCACGTATCTTTGATAACATTCTGTTTAATAATGACCACTAGGCAAAGCCGGTGTTTGTTGAATATTATTTTGAAATGATTGTTCCAAGAAAAGAAGATGGGACTGTTTTGAAGAGGGAAGCAAAGGGTGCCAGACTAGGAACTTCTGGCTGCTTTTAACCTTTTGCTGTAAGGAAATGTGCCTTTCTCCATTTCGTTTTTCAAAAAGGAAATTGATTGTGGTGGTGTGGCCGGGAGAAGCTTTCGCTTTCTGTATGCCGGTATTGTAATCACTGTTGCATATTTAAAGGAATGAAAAGCCAGTGTGACACGGGTAGTTATGCCGAGTAGTAGAATGTTCCTTCCAGGACAAGAAAATGAAAATCACCAGCAAGTTTTTCTTTTCTTTTTTTGTAATTACAGGTGTCAGAAACTATTTGAAGGAAGCCCTGGTACATATCATTGCCGTACATGCTGAGGTGAGGTGGTTTCAGCTTATGCACAATTAGCACAAATGGGATAAGCCAACAAAAAAAACAACCCACCCATCAGAAATTCAGCCTTTGAAACAACTGACCTTCTTTAAGTGCCAGGAATTATTCCAAAGATGCATTAGGTTGGATGAGACTTGTCGTTCATAGTTATACTTCACTAGTCTTCAGCTGGTGAGAGGGTTGCCAGGTCCCCCCGGCCAGCCGCAGAGGGTGGGGAGGGTGGTAGGGTTGCCCGCTCCAGATTGGAAATAGGGCTGCCATCCCCCGATGGGGGTGGGGGTTCCCCTGCTTTCAGGGCCCCAAATCCACCACTGGCCGGCAGGGAGAGACCCGCCCCCGAAGAGCCCTAATGTGCCCAGTGACCATAGAGTTTTTGGCCAAATGCTAGAGCGTCCCCTGCACGACACACCAGAAGATCCAGAAACCCGGGCTGGAGCCCCCCCCCAAAAAAACCCCCCCCCCCCCGATGGCAACCAGGTAAGACCTGACAACCCTCATTGGAAATCTCCTGGAGCCTTGGGGGTGGAGCCTGGGGAGGACAGGGACCTCTGTGGGGTACACCCTCCAAAGGCTCCCTTTTCTCCAAGGAAACTGATCTCTGTTGTCTGGAGATGAGCTGTAATTCCAGGGGATCCCCAGGTCCCACCTGGAGGCTGGTATCTCTGACTGGTGATGGTTCCAACTGTATTAAGGTCATTTATGCCTACAGCACCGTGGATGTGCAGTGTTTAATCCCACCCCAAACACACACACACACACACTGTCACTTTAATTATGGTCAGTTAGATTCCAGTGCCCTTTTCCCTGAAACCTTCGTATTAAAAAAGCCAGCACCGGGATTGGTTGAAACAAAACAACCCCTTTATTGCAGAAATATAACGAGAAAACATTTAATATATTTTATACTCATTCGGGGTTAATTGGAATCTGTAATGTGTCAGTCAAGAGTCACTGGAAAAGACAACAATGCTAGGAAAAGTTGAAGGCAGCAAGAATAGAGAAATACCTGACATGAGATAGACTGACTCAATCAAGAAAGCCACAGCCCTCAGAGAGGGCCAGAGAGCCAGTTTAGTGTAGTGGTTAGGAGCCCAGACTCTAATCTGGGAGAGCCGGGTTTGATTCCCCACTCCTCCACATGCAGCTGCTGGTGTGGCCTTGGGTCAGTCACAAGTTCTCTCAGAGCTGTTCTCTCACGAGCAGTCCTCGAAAGAGCTCTCTCAGCCCCACCTACCTCACAGGGTGTCTGTTGAGGGGAGGGGAAGGGAAATGAGACTGTAAACTGCTCTGAGACTTCCAAGTGAAGGGCAGGATATAAATCCAATCTCCTCCTCCTCCTCGTCATCCTCTTCTTCTTTCTGCATGACCTGAGCGAGTCTGTTAACAAGAGGAAGTTTTGAAGGACATTAATTCATAGAATCGCTATAAGTTGGCAGTGACTTGAAAACACACACAGTGTGTCCGAGGCTTAAAAAAATCACGGTCTTCGAGATCAAGTGTTAACCAGAACTTAAAAAAAAAACACAACTGAATTCTGTCAGGTTCAGGAGGGTTATTCTGTTTAAATGTTGTTCGATCTCATTTTTTTGAAACTGAAAACCTCCAGGTATTCACGGTCTCAAAAGAACTGGTTCCCAGGGTGCTCTCTAGGATCGTCGAAGCAGTCGCTGAAGAGCTGAGCAGGCTGATGCAGTGCGTCTCGTCCTTCAGCAGAAATGGAGCTTTGCAGGTAACCAAGCAATGGGGATTCTGTTGCTAGAGGAGGTGAACGTAAGAACACTACAGGTGTCAGTCGTTCCAGAAAACCTGCAGTTCTGTAAGGGGGGGTACTCTAAAAG